AACTGGCCTCTTTTCTTGCTGTCTAACAAAACCAGACGTCGCAACTGTCAGACTAAGAATTAAGACTAATTAATTAAGACTAAGAATTAATGATCATTGTTTTAAACGATTTTTGTTAGGAACGATCATTATGAATAATTGAAATTTTTCGTTGCTACAATAGCCATAATTAGTGAAAGAAATTTAATTTGGTAACCAGTTTGAATGGTTGAACGGAATTTGTTTTAATTATTCGTAACCATTATCGATGTCCAGATCCAATAAAAATGTGTTTCTTCTCCTTAATGAGTTTAATTATATACGTAATAATAATAATGCTTAAAATTTTATACATTTGAGAATAATTTTGGTGAAGCATTAATTTTTGTTATTATGTAACGAATACATAGTGCCGAATAAATACTATAAAATACGTATTGACATTAAATTAATTAACAGTTCCCAGGAACACATAACCATAAAGCTATGAAAAAATGTCACTCGTCCACTGACTATAGTTGAGAGTAGCATAATAGTAATCGTTAATGCTCCCAGTGTTTTCGCTATATCTGTATTTGTGTCCTAAATGTTAAGAATCAATTACGATGAAAAGCGACTATTACGAGTGCAAATCATTGTAAGAACGATTTATCACGGAAAATGAATGATCTATGGCCAGACAGAGTTTTGCGAACGACGCTGTATCCGATTACGGCGGCGCTTATGGAAATGCGTCGAACAATAAGACTACCGGCGATCCTTAAGGTGATTTTGCACGCCTATACGTTCTTCTGCATACTGCTCGAATGATTTCTGCCGCGTTTATGTGGGCGGGTCTATGGTCAAACGGCAAGAATCATTGGAGCGGCGTGCACATGCCGCACGGCTTAAGGAGAATGGGCCTTGTAACTGCATCGATACGGATAACAATCATCGTCTGATGTAATAACATTGTTGATCCGAACGACAATGCGATATTTGCGCTCTCGCCTTGATTGGCTATCTCGGCGATGTATCTCGCCGAGAGATAAAAGTCTTATTTTTATCTCTAATGAACGCTTTTGGCTTTTTCTCGACTTACACGTGTAATTCGCAACGACCCAGTCAGCCGATTACGTTCCGTGCACTGTAGACGTATGCAGAAATTTGCATACCGGTCGATTAATTTATAACAATTGAAATTCATGATCCATTGATTCTATCGTCGCGTCTCGTTTCGAAGTTATGGCTAACTGCGGATGTTTATGCAAAGTAAAGATGTTTTTTTTTATGAATTGCAACAAACATTACCTAGGTAGAAATTGTTTTCTTTTCTTAATAATTTTAATAAATTGAGAATAATACCGAGATATATTTCAATTCCCTTAATTTGTTTACTGTTTAAAATTGTTCTTAATTATTCTTGATATAAATCAGTCATATCCGCTGTCTAATTATGGTCATTTGAAACCAGAAACTTTTTATAACTACACTGCGGATCTTCGTGCAAAATAAAAAGTCTCTACCGCGCGCGCGCACGCGAGCGATCGCAATTCAAATATAAATTCTTCATTTATAATTCTACAAACTTTAGAGACTCTTTCATGGAAAATGTTAGAATAAATCGTATCAGTGAAGCAAGTTATATAATAAAAATCTTACGAAATCGAGATAAATTGGAAAAATAAATAAATATTTTTATTCAATTTTTATATTATTTGAGATACGTACATCATTAATGTAACCAGATGTTAAACGTTCCAATTACATTAATTAATTAATAGAAATGTAAGAGGAAGCTTATTTTTCAATATATGTTTGTACATTTTCTATGTCTTTATTTTGTATAATAAATGTTAATCATAAGAAGTAGAAGTTCAAATAATTAACAGAAACTTAGACACATGAAATATTATTTCCAATAATTATTTTCAGTATATCTTAAGAAGATATTATTTCAAATAATTATTTCATCGTAAAAAAATACTATTTCAAATCATTATTTCCAGTACATCTTAAAAATGCTATTTCCAATAATTATCTCCAATACATCTTAAAAAAATACTATTTCAAATAATTATTTCCAGTACATCTTAAGAAAATACTACTTGAATTAATCATTTTCCTCTGTGACAACAAATAAATCTTGAAATACTATTTCATACAAACAATACTTTTTCAAATATTTTTACCCAAGCCTGATGGTATAGCGAGGGGTTAATTTTGAACTCATTTCGAATATTAAGTTAGGTGTTAAATCGTCGCGTGTCTGACGCATTAAAAATTCGTCAATTTTTCAACATCCTCTTCTCTCTGACCGCGCCGATTCAGCGAGACAGCCGTAGAGGTGGGACTGCCGCATGCCGATACACCATAGGAACACGACTATGAGAGATTGTCGAATTTCTAGAAGGGCGAGGCCCTTTTGTTGGCTTCTCTCGTGGGAGCCAGCACGCCCACCTCGTGGCCGATTACTTTCCTCCTACCTAAGCGTTCACCTACACCAGCAAGGCGATTCGCGTCTGCCGCGTATTTCGCGACGTAAGCCGCAGTTAAGCCGTGAAAGATATGCGCGCAACGGTCCTGTAACGACATGAATTTGCGATCTCGCCGGCGCAGATTGAATCGTTCGTTCCCGGGACGCGAAATTGTTGGAACGCGCGACCCGCGGACTCGCTCGCCGTGCCGTGTTTCAGGGGAACTGATTATGAGTTATCCTCGTCGACGTTTGCGTACACAATCCCTCAGGATTCTTTCCCTCTTGTCCCGTCTCGTTTCGTTTCGTTTCGTTTCGTCCAGCCTGAATGCTGAAATAATGCGACACGCCGGATGCCGGCGAGTTAGAGGAGAACTTCCGGCGGCGTTGCATTCGCCTGGCACTCTTGGCTCTCTGCTTCATGGTGATTGAAACGTCTTCGACCTGTTCAACCCTCTGCGTTTTATTTCCTACATGTTCACATCGACTTCCTTGTCTTCAATAATTTCGCTAGTGGAAGGAGGCAATTCTTATTTCTTGCGCAGATACATTTACTTCCATTCGTAGATTTTGATAACAGGTTTGCCGATTTGATGCGTTTATGGGAAAAATGGTTATGGCGAAATAGGAGAAAACTGTCTTGAATGGGACATTACCGTCGTCTCAAAAATTGTGAATGTTTCTATAATAAAATTATGCTTGTTTTGTAACTATATCATGCATGGCTAATCACACGTAATTTGAAACCGCAATTAATTTTTTTAGGGTTAAGTAATTTTTAGGGTTAAAAAGTAATATTTTTCCTTTTTCCCTTAACGTTGTATGAAGTGCTGTTGCTTTCGAATGAGTTTTTTATTTATTGCATTCGATCGGGTATTTAATCATAGTAATTAAACAAATTCAATTTTTAATGTTGTTACCAAGATTATGAATGGAACACACAGAATAAATATATAAATGAAATGTGCGGCATAAAAGGTGCCTCAAATATTCAGTTTCTTTTTACTGAAAGGATTATAGTTTTTGTCGTAAAATACTAAAATGTGATATTAATTCAAAGATATAAAGAAGATTTATGTAAAATTCGAGATTAGTATGTAATATTATATATACTCACAATGAATAAGACCTCTACTATGTTCAATTTATTTAATCTATTAGAAGAAAAAACACAGTTTTACTTAACTCCTCTTTTGTACGATAGAAGACTATTCCTGCTAGTTCGAATGCACCGTATAATTTATCACCATGATCCTCATGCCACTTACATCACAATTTAGCTACAATAATTTAGCTACAATTGTTTCATGTTAATTATCACGTTATAAAAATGCAATATTAATAAATCCATTTATCGAATCTTATAAACTATTGTGATTGGATTGCGGATTTTATGCATTCGCAACAAAAATGAGTAAGTGAAATATAAACTAGTAAAAACATTAGGAGAGTTTCAGAATATTGATACATTATTTCCAATATGCTATATTTATCAACAGGAGAAATATATTTTTCATTTTTAATAATTATATTAACAATTATGTACTATAATAGACAATTTTTATTTTGCATAAAAATCCGCAGTCTAATGACGACAAATATGCTGCATGTACATACTTTTGGACGCCGCACAGTGGAGTATTAGGTCGAAAAAGCTGGCTAAAATACGATTTTTCAAATCTTGCGTAAGTTGAAAAATTTTCTGAGTTATTAGAATATATAAAGAAATCAGTATTATTATTTTTATTTATGTACTCACGTAGCGTTGTTCGGCATTGAAAATAAAGACTTTTATGGCAACTCACATTTCTGTTTTCTCGTTTCTGAAATATCGCACGGTTATTAGTATCATTTATATGTAATGAACATGGTCTGCTCATTTTTTCTTTACTGATACTTTCTACTTTTCACTTTCTTATTGTGTGGCCGTTTAAAATTATTCGAGTTTAAAGATCACCTATTATTTATTGCGATATTTCCGATTTGTAGAATTTTCATGAAAGAGAGTTTTAGACTTGCAAGCGAGTTCCGATGTTCCTTTTTGCATTACTGGAAACCCATGAAAATGCAAAAAGAATTGGCTGTCAAGATATTTCAATACGACTTTGACATTACATGTATAAGGCTGTGACTTATTCAATGAGACAAAACAAAAGTATAAAATTGTTCTGAACAATTTTTAATTGTTTCTAGTTTCTTCAATAGTCTTTAATAATTTTTAATACTTTTTAATAATTTCACATCGTTTTTCATGATCTTTAGGTTGCTTTCGATTGTTTTTAGTTTATTATACATATCTTTTAATAGTTACATAGCCTTCGCACAATGCAAAAAGTAATAATATTTGTTTCTTAATGTTTAAAATGATTCCCACTATGTTAAAATACCATAAATAGATAGAACATATAAATACTATAAACAAAATTGTAGATGTAATTTAGACACGTTCACTGAGAAATATAATTTTGGCCAGCGAAATCGCGCAAATAGCCCACTGTCGCCGGACCGTAAATTTCACACAACAAATTGACGATTGGCACGCTTCCCTTCGTTTGACTGTGCACAGCGAGACGATGAGACACAAAAGGCAGTAAAGCTGATGATGCGGGAACGAAGATTTATAAAATTTGCATCGGTGGAATATGACGGGCAACTGTACATGACGCCCCAGGACTTCCTCGACAGTGTTGTTGAACCCGAACCCAGACGTGAGTATTAAATAAATTTGCACGGTCAGCAATAGTGGCGCCGGCCAGCGATAATAACTCGCTTTGTCTTTGACAACAAATGCCCTCATAATTCGAGGCAACGTATATTAATGACGCCCATTACCGTACGATCCCGAAAAGCAAAGGCGAACCACCTGAAGGATGGATAACCATGATTATCATTCGTGATGGTATACGAAGCTTTTCAGACGTACGCGATGATTCAGCTTTGTAGAAAATGTTTCAACATATCGTTTTGGGGGAATTTGCGCGAGTAAATGGTTAAATTTTTGCTCGTAGAAGCGTGAACATTTTATTTTTACAAAGGAGCACCGCCACGTGTGTCATAAACGCTTCGTACCTCGTCACGAAATTGCAGATTTTATGCATTTATGGCAAAATAGAGTAGTTGCAATTGAAAATAGTATAAAGCTTGAAATGTCAATGTATTAAAATAAAATAAAAATTAAAATAGTCCAGGTAGAGGATGATTTCGTTCTTTAATAATTTTAATAATTTGAAAAGAATGCAACTGTATTTTTTAAATTGTTTGAATGTTTTTCACTGCTTTATACTCGATCTGTTAATTTGTATCATAAATGCATAAAATCCGCAATCTATAAATAAACAGTAAACAATTAAATGATAATTAATAAATAACAATTAAAATTGTATTTATAAGTAAGAAATAAACTATATTATTTTGAATAATTTATTTGGATCTATGTAACTGGTAAGTAATTATCGTTGTCTAAACAATGAGCCTAATCATTGAAATGAACATTTAGTTAAACGATACCCAACTCTGCCCACGGCGGCATATTCGCGAAGCCCATGATTCCGTGGTAGGCGGACTAGCTGCCATCGCGATGAAAAACGATCGTTTTTGCGACCATCAATGTCAACCTTTTTCTTTCCGCTACCACTATCGACCACTTACGAACGAATTTATTACCAGGCAATCGTGAAATTAGAAAAGTATGAACTCCGTCGAGCAAGAAGGAAGCTTATCGTTGCGGCGCGAAAGCATCGCGAATCCGGTTTCATTGACCGTGAATGGTTCGATTGATTTGTAAATCGCTAACGACTTGGTCTATCGATGAACGTGGAATTAATTTTAACAAGTCCTTGGACACCTTGCGGAAGTTTTATTTCGGTACGCCGCGTCACGCGAGCCGATGCACATTTACATAGAAGTAATTCCCAGCAGAGTTTTACTTTGTTTTGACGATGCACTCACGAATCCAAACGTAAACTGGGAACGACGACCCAGTGATACCACGATTCCTTGATCGGCCGTTTTTGTAAAAATAAATTGTGCATCTGTGGCGTTTCAGCGAGACTGAAGCGACGTGTGCTGAGTGACAAGGAGCTCGATGTGATGAGAAATTCCATCCCCACGCTGCGTCATGGAAGTCCGCATATGCTAAGAAACTTGCGGGACAAGGGTGAGTTGAGATATTTTTACTCGCCGACGATCGGTTTAACACCTTGCCGTGCTTTAAGGAGTCAGACTCGTGGTGGAAGATTTCCAGTAATAAGCTGTTAGATATGAATGTTGTTCCGTTCCTTCAAGGGGATATTCTAGCGTGAAGTGCGCGTGTTTTTAACTTCGTTAGGGAACTTTTTGCAAAGGGACTATTATACCTTTTTTCAGTCAAATTGACAAGGTTTATTTGTACCTGTTTCAACGACGTTTTAAAATTTTTTGGAACAAAAAACAGTTGTATTTTTGAAGGTATATTCTTTGAGAATATGCAACAAAAATTGATTCTTTCAAAAGTTCACACTAGAATGACCCGTTAGGTCGTAATCAAATTCTATTCTCTTGTCACCAATATTTAAACATTCGAGTAGATATTAACACACACAAAATATAAAATTTCTTTTTCTTCTAAGAAATGATCGCGATCGAAAATGTTCTAATTATCGTAATTGTAAAGAAAATGGTACGAGAAGGGGTTAAAACGACGCAGCTTGTTGCCTAATCGTAGGCTTAATTTTAATATTTTATTTACCCAAATATTGTCAATTCATTTTCCAATCACTGAGCTGTACACGTAGAATGGTCCACGTAAATATCTCCTCCAATAGTGATGTTGCAAAAATGTGTTTTATATGGAATATGACTGATTTCAAGAGACGAATACGTTGCAAAAAGTAGTTTTTCTTCAAGATCACTTATATCAATGCATATTTTTTATTATTGCATCGTGTTGCTGACATACAAATACATTGAGACATGTATAATGACTTGACTCTGAAATGATCTTTGACTTCAAACATGAAAACGAAACGTGAAGTTATATCTCCTCCAATCAGAGTTCGGCAAAAGTTTATTCGAATGAAGATAACGAATACAATTTCGACGCTATTGAAAAAATACTCGATCGAATGAAAATTGATTTTACATAAAATCCGCGGTCTAGTTGCGAGCGACGCTAATCATCTCATTTCAAACTTATTTAATCCAGTCTACGGTTTCCGCTTTCAAACGAGGGCTTTGTAAAGTTAACTATCAGTCTTTCCGTAACGGTGATTTCCTATCATTGTGACGATTCGATACCAAGAAACAAGTTAAATTGAGAAAATGAGAGACGGATGAAGTTTGAACTATGTATTATTATATCAATTGCTTTTATATCCGTCTTAAACCTCCTAGATCAGTAGATGCCTTTTTGTGTGAACCCTCTCTTCTACCTTTACTTCTTATCCATAAACTGAAATCCCATTGTTTGCACCTTTAAAGAAGAATTCAAAAATGTATTATTGATTGGTCAACCCTAGATTCTAAGTTATATATATGTATAATGTTAGTATGCACAGTATGCTGCTGACAATCCCAATAGTAGTTTCACAGCTTAATAATAAAAAAAAAGAAAAATAAGTCATAGATCGAAGAGAAGCTCGGAATTATATTTTATCATTGCAGTGTAAATATCCCTCGATTTACATATTTAGTATCATTCGTATTAAAGTTCGAATTTCTTCGCGGAAAAATCAATAGAGACTAAACCTTGTACGTAATTTGTTTGGGACAAGAAGCTTCAGTTAAATTTATATGTTGCCCGTGAAGGTAATGCATGCAATGCTATTCAATCTTCCACTGATTTGCATTTAATCGCTTCAATTAGCATTCAATTATCGACAAGAAGCAGGTGACGAAAAATACTATTTATACAGGGTGTCTGACTACATTGTGAGCCTATGTAGAAAAATTCAGTGTTACCATTCTTATAAATTTAGTTTAGTGTTAAATAATAAAAATAGTATTTTGAATATGTTATTAATAATATTTGTTTGCTTATAATTATTTTTATTTGTTCATAATTAGTATCCCAAAATTAACAAAGTTCTTCAATGTGTCCAAAAATACCAGAGATATTTAGGTGGCCCCCTTTAGCTGTGACATCTTGTATGTCTATGTTATCCTTATTGAGTTGGTTTCATTGTCAGACTTCGAATTGGAGTGACATAGTCGCGTTCGGATAGCCACGTATCCGGACACCCAGTATAAAACAAAGCGCGTATGTACTTCTCGTCGGTTTCCTCGCGATCTCGCTTTCTGTGACGGTGCGAAGACCTCGAGGATCACCGGCGCGGCGCGGAGCAATTAATCCCGCCACCCCTGCGACGATCGAAATAACAGGGCCGTGTCGTTAACGAGTGCCCGTGGTAGCCGTTCGGCGGATCCTTCCTGGCTTTTTGCGCGTTCACCGCACGTTTGTCGCGCTAATGGAAATGCAAATAATCGTCGAGCGGAGCCAGTTTCACACTTCCCTCTAATAAACGACCAGCGATGCGTCGCCCTCCGTGCAACCGATTTCTCTTTTTTCTTCCCCGAGCCAGAATTTCATGGCCGAATATACGTGCTCGGCTTGATCTACTCTGATTTAAAGGGGACACCGCAAAAAAAACGACATTTTCCTCTATTTTCTTAAAGTTTCGAACGTGTTAGAATATTATGTCAAAGCGATATTTCGAAATTCGAACATTAATACATTCAGTGCCGCGTGAGGGTGACGTATGGGTGCCGTCACGTATGAGTGACACTAATTTTTAACTAGGTTTTTGACACTTTCTAGTTTTGGTGTCATTAAATAAATTACTTTGATATTGTGTGAATTTTTCGAGTTAATATTCGGCACTTAATGTGTTCAACTGACCTGAGTTTTCGAGAGTATGTAATATTGTTGTTTAAAAACGATGTTTACTTTCACGTATTACATTATCATATATGTAATATATGATAACAGCTGTAAACAGCTGTTATCGAATAAGTTATTATTATATAAACTGTGATTACAAAAATATGATACAAATATATCGGAAATAATTATCAAATAAGTTATTATGATATAGAATGTGGTTACAAAAATATGCTATAAATATACCATAAATAATTAATATTGGTCTACTAGCAGAGTTGATTTGACTTTTGGGTGACGTATGGGTGACACTAATTTTTAACTAGGTTTTTGAAATTCATTTTTATTGTAATATATTGAACAAATTGAATGTCACTAGGATTTGTAGAATACAAAATAGCTGAACCAATATTTCTTATGGTAAATTTTCACTTTCTAGTTTCGGTGTTATTAAATAAATGACTTTGATATTGTGTGAATTTTTCGAATTAATATTCGGCACTTAATGTGTTAAACTGACCTGAGTTTTCGACAGTATATAATATTGTTGTTTAAAAACGATGTTTACTTTTACGTATTACATTATCATATATGTAAACAGCTGTTATCAAATAAGTTATTATTATATAAACTGTGATTACAAAAATATGATACAAATATATCGGAAATAATTATCAAATAAGTTATTATGATATAGAATGTGGTTACAAAAATATGCTATAAATATACCATAAATAATTAATATTGGTCTACTAGCAGAGTTGATTTGACTTTTGGGTGACGTATGGGTGACACTAATTTTTAACTAGGTTTTTGAAATTCATTTTTATTGTAATATATTGAACAAATTGAATGTCACTAGGATTTGTAGAATACAAAATAGCTGAACCAATATTTCTTATGGTAAATTTTCACTTTCTAGTTTCGGTGTTATTAAATAAATGACTTTGATATTGTGTGAATTTTTCGAATTAATATTCGGCACTTAATGTGTTAAACTGACCTGAGTTTTCGACAGTATATAATATTGTTGTTTAAAAACGATGTTTACTTTTACGTATTACATTATCATATATGTAAACAGCTGTTATCAAATAAGTTATTATTATATAAACTGTGATTACAAAAATATGATACAAATATATCGGAAATAATTATCAAATAAGTTATTATGATATAGAATGTGGTTATAAAAATATGCTATAAATATATCATAAATAATTAATATTGGTCTACTAGCAGAGTTGATTCGACTTTTGGGTGACGTATGGGTGACACTAATTTTTAACTAGGTTTTTGAAATTCATTTCTATTGTAATATATTGAACCAATTGAATGTTACTAGGATTTGTAGAATACAAAATAGCTGAACCAATATTTCTTATGGTAAATATTCACTTTCTAGTTTCGGTGTCATTAAATAAATGAGTTTGATATTGTGTGAATTTTTCGAGTTAATATTCGGCATTTAATGCGTTAAATAAGAGAAATGCGAAATCATACTTCAAAGCTTCAATTCAAATGCGGCACGTGTTCCTGTTGTCTAATCTCAGATTCTCTGAGATTCTCTGCCGAAATTTTGCACAGTACTTTTTGTCACAAAGCGATCTGATGAAGTGCGTCAAGAAATAATCGAAAGTCGAAAATTAGGGGCCACCCTAAGCCCACTCAGCTATATTTTTGTCACAAAGATCCGCCTTTCGATGTTCTAACGAATGTTCAGTACATTCGTTACGACCATGGGCCACGGAACGAACCACTGGAGGCTGCGCATCTCGTTACCTACGTCGATTTCGCTTCTTGCACGATGCTATTACTCGAATTGCAACCAGCCGGTACACTTCCTTATTGCGCGGACGTAGTTCACTGTATTAGGAAAAGTCGTGAAATTTTTCTCGGCGAAATTTCGCCGCGAAACGATCCACCTACGATCCTCTTTCGAACAGAAGTGTTAAATGCATGCTGTTCTACCTCGCGAAATGAACTACGGGATTCGGAGTTTATGATCGCGCGGTTAACCTTGAGTTACGATCACTTTTCAACGTGAGACGAACAGTGTTTGGAGTCTTGAAATAAATTGGTGGTAGTCTGTGGAGGTGGTTATAAATTTTATGGATAGTCGCGACGACAAGGTGAGTTAACAGTTCGCGGAGTTATCGCGGTCTAACGTTACAGTTTTGGTGAAAGCGGCGAGTTATCTCTTCGGACGATTGTTCATCGCGAGTTAAGGGAATTGCTGACGGAAAATGTAATTCATAACATTGTTGTTCTATCATTCGAATCGAAAAAGTTGATTGAAT